AAATACTGTAAATTAAATGCTTAATGGCGGTTCATACAGGGAAAGAACATATCAATATTCGCATATTCATTCAAAAACATGAAACTTTTTAATGGAGTACCCTCATTTTTTATTGAATTCCTAAAAAAAAATATTTATAATGAATTTTAATAATTTTTTCAAATTTTTTTTAAGCTTTATCCGATTCACCCGATTCCCGATCCGGATCGCCGATTCGCCGATCCGGATCGATTTTTTGGAAACCCGATCTGGGTCACCGATCCGTTTTTTAAACCATTGGTTTAAAGTATTGTTATAACGCCCTTTAAGTTGTTTCGAAAAGTTGGGTGGGATGAAAAACTTAAATGACGATGTTCTATTCATGTAACAGCCAAAGATCGCAATTGTCATAACTTATGACTGATGTTCTACTGTTTATGACAACTTATAACAGCTGAAGACCATACCGGTTATGGGAAAAAGGGGTTCATGCATGGCGGGATTCATTACCACATTTGTGTTCCCCTGAGGCATCACACAACCAACTTAAAGATGGATATGGAATTGTGATCTCCCCAAAAACAAAAAAAAAGGTAAATCAAGGGCTTAAAAAATTATCACTTCTAGTATTTAAAATTTATTTATTTATTTACACATTAATGATCTCAACTTTAGAGATTATATATACCTAAAACATTAGGTCCAAACTCCATATTTAAATCACGAAGAGTGGACACATATCTACATGAGCATATCTACATAAGCCCTAGGGGTCATGAAAACCATATCCATTGGGCATTACTTCATCACCTTCCACACGACATGCAAATTTGGACTGACGGATCCAATTTGTAATATCAAGAAAGGACCGGACCCACTTCAACACTCACAAATGCCTTTTAAAGGCAAATGTCACCAAAGTGCAGAGTATCATGGTATCCAGCCCCGACATAATGGTTAAGTGACACCGGACTACAAATGCAAGATTCATGTTAACACTAATGTCTTATCACCTAGCAAGTGTTGGTGAATGCCTAAGACCGTGGTTGAAAGAACTCTAATCATAGAACTCAATTAAGGTGATCAGCAGTTATGAATGCAGAATACATTTTTGTATGTAGGTGAATCCATCCCTTGAATAGAAAAGGATTTCTTTTCCATATTTATAAGCATTTGGATGCTTATAAATACCATCATTTGTTTCATACAAATAAACATTTCAATAGGTGCACCTTGATCTTCGCCATGGCCATGAAGTTCACCAAAACCATCTTCACATTCGGCTCACAAGGAACGTCAGTGGCTGAGTCAATCACCCACCCGCTGAACCGATTTGGGTTGTCGATCCAAGCAAGAGTGGACCAATTCTCTAGCTTGGTCATCAGTTCAAAAATAAAACTAAATATCATCTTAAATTCAAAATAATAGAAAAAAAATTGAATGTGAGGAACCTTGGTAGTTCAGATTGCATGGTTTTTTAACAAGCTCACCCAATTCTCTAAGGGCCCGTTCGGATTCTTGGATTTTTCAATCCTAGGAAAAGTCAATCATGAAATTAACATTTCTTAGAATAGGGTGTATGCTATTTGGATTGCATCATGTAGAAATAAAAAAAAGGCCAATTCCTATCTTTTTTTTGGAAATGCAAATCCTTTCTCTCACTAAAAATTTTGAAATAGTCTCTCTCTAAAATTTTAATATACTTTTTTTCAAAAACTTAAAATTTGAAATAGTTTCTCTAAAAATTTTGAGATAGTTTTCATTTTTAAAAAATTTATATTTAGTTTCTCTTTCTAAAATTTTCATCAAATACTTTATCTTTAAAACTTAAAGTTTGAGTTAATCTCTCTCCAAAAATTTTGAGATAGTTTCTCTCTAAACAATATCAGGTAGTTCCTCTTTAAAATATAATATAATTTCTCTATCTAAAATTTTAAAGTGCTTTCTCCATCTGAAATTTAAAATATGAAATAGTTTCTTTCTAAAAAATTTAAAATAGTTTCTCTAAAAAATTTTAGGTACTTTCTTACTCTAAAATTTGATATAGTTACTCTATAAAATTTTAAGATGCTCTCTCTCTAGAACTTGAATTTTGAGATAGTTTCTCTCTCTAAAATTTTAATATAGTTTCTCTCTAAAACTTAAAATTTGATCTAATTTCTCTATCCAAAATTTTTCAAATGCCCTCTCTCGAAAAAATTTAAATACTTTCTCTATCTAAAACTTGATATAGTTTTACTCTATAAAATTTTAAAATATTCTCTCTAAAACTTAAAATTTGGGATAAATTCTCTCTAAAATTTTCAAATAGTTTCTCTCTAAAATTGTAATATACTCTCTCTAAAAGTTAAAATTTGAAATAATTTTCTCTATCTAAAATTTTTTAAATAGTTTCTCTATCTAAACATTTCAAGTATTTTTTCTACCTAAAATTTGATACAGTTTCTCTCTCTAAAGTTTTAAAATATGTTCTCTCTTTAAAACTTAAAATTTGAGATAGTTTGCAGTTTCTCTATCTAAAATTTGATATAGCTTCTAATCTAGAAAATTTTAATATGCTATCTCTAAAACTTAAATTTTCAAATAATTTCTCTTTCTAAATGTCTTGAAAAAATTTAAGTAATTTCTCTTTAAAATTTTAAGATATTTTCTTTAAAATTTAAGATTTGAAATAAGTTTCTCTCTGAATTTTTAATACCATCTCCTTAAAACTTTAAATTTGAGATAGTTTATATTTCTATAAATTCAAATATTTTCTCTCTAAAACATTTCATATACTCACTAGAATTTGATATAATTTCCCTCTCTAAAATTTTAATATGTTTTCTCTCTAAAAATTTTTAAAAAATTATTCTTCAACAACAAAATGGATCATTTCCATGAAATGTGAATTCCACCTATTCTGATGGAATTGAGATTTCCAAAATTAGGCTTAAAAGGAGTATTCAAAAATCCAACAGAAATCTAAATTCCAACATAAATGTCAATTCTAAGCAAATCAAACATGATTGGCCAACATTTTTTAAGAAAAATGACTTCCGAAAATCTGAATCCAATGAGCCAAACGGGCCACATGGAAGTCACAATCCATATTATCTCTTAGAGAGTGTCATTGAATAGACAGTTCCAAAAAAAAAATGTAAAATGTAAAGAGAGGAGCTGTAGCTACAATAAAATACAACTTCCTGATATAAAATGTAAAACGCATGTCAAAACTACTACCAAAAAGATGTAGTTCATGTCTCAAAATCCCATTACCTTATTGATGCCCATGATTATGAAATTTGAAGCTCAAAAAATGTTGTGAAAGATAACGTAAAAACAAATAGTTTAAACAATCTGTTACAAAATACACTATTTTTAATACTTAAATTCCAGTTTTTTTTTTTAGCTTTTAATATATAGAATTATCAAATATCAATTTGAAGGTTTTCAATTGCCAAAACAACCTTTTCCAGCCAGATTTGAGTCACGATGCTACCCTCACCACTTCCAAAATTAAAAGAAAGCATTTCTAATACACCACTAAGGTTAACACCCAAATAAGCCCTGCAAGTTACAAGTGAAATGGGTGGTTAACCACTTGGTCAGTTCTCTCATCATCGTCATCCAAAATTGGACAATGAGGACCACAAAACCAAGGTCTTTTTCATGGTCCGCTGGATAACTGTTCATTCTCAGTGAATCAGTCTATGAACCATATGGCATAAGCATTGAGGGTTTGATTTTCTTTTTCCTTTTTTTAAGAAAATTCAGGTTATTACTGAAATGAGGTGAGGAACAAGCAACACCCAGAATGGTTAGGAAATTAGAGATGAAGACCGAGAGGAACAAGCAATACCCAGAACGATCAGGAACTCGAGAGATGCAAAATCACTCAAAATTATGGCTCATACATTGCAAAGGAAGATGAGAGAAGCCGAAGCATCTTTACACAATCAATTATTCATTTCTTACCAGACTTTGTCTTTTTGGAGACTGTAGATTTCTTGGCTACCTTCTTTGTTGGCTTAGTAGCAGTTTTAGCCTTCTTACGCTTTGTAGTACCCTGCACAAACTCATGGAATAAGTATGTAATAAAACCAAGACATACAGAAGAACCGATCAACAATAAGACGAGGAATTCCAGTATCCACAAACAATTTTCATATGATTTCAGAGGCCAGAGCCAAGCACTTGAATATGCCAATTGTATGAAGAAGGATTTGCCAAGAGAGAGAGAGAGAGAATTGTACTAAGAAGGATTTGTCATGAGAGAGAGAGAGAGAGAGAGAGAGAATTGTACTCAGAAGGATTTGCCTTGAGAGAGAGAGATCCATAAGTAGACCCGAGATTGGAGAATATTATCATTTACTATACACACTTTCCCACCCTACAAAGTTTAAAGAGTAGCTCTAGATTATAAATTAGTGCTTTGAGAACAGGAAGGCCAAAATCCTAACAACCAATACAAGAAAAATAAAACTGGTAGCATATAAATCGTTTAGAACATCAATAGTTTTAAATCTTAAATTAATACTTAGGCAACCAAAAAGCCAATCCATTAAAACCAAAGAGAAAGAAAACCATAACATGCAATAAATTTTAGAACAAAATAAGAATATGATATCATGTTCATTTTGGCACAAAAACAAGGGTGAAGAGGATAAACAACATACTAATGATGATTTATCAGCCTTTTTCTTGGTCTTTGAATCAGCTGGATCTCCATTCTCATTGTCTTGATTGCCCTGATGATCAGATGCCCTCAGGGCATTGTCTCCTTCCTCATCCGAAGCAAAGGAAAACCCTTCAAGTGTACCTACCCAAATGAGATAAGAAACAAACACAACACAACACAAATGAGTGGCCTTATTATCAATAGAAATGCAGAAATGAGAAGTATGTCATATTAACACTACTTGAAAGACAAAGACGGTATATCTCAATCATCCATAGAGTTCACTACACAATAAGAATCATGGTTAAACTGCACTTGGTGATTTAAAAAAAATATTTGATAAGTTCTGGTTTACACAGAGACACCCATTAAGTGAAATATCATAAGAGCTCCATATGAATAAGAACATTAAAGGTAGATCAAAAACTCCAAATAATGATGTCGCCACATAACACTTCCAATAGAAATAGAATGTCATTGACATGTACCCAGCTCAAGGCCAGCATCCCAATAAGGAGAAAAAGTACTACCAGCAACATATAAAAGTACAATGTGAATAATCTGCCTCAAAGAAGCATGAAAGAAAGAAAGAAAGGCATATACTAAGTATAAAAATCATGGAAAGTCTATTCAGCATGGTCACTTATTACCACCCGATTAGAGCAAAATATTATTATGGGAAGTTAACAAGCCAAATATGACTTGAGAGTGGACATTATGAAAAGAAAGGTCAGTATGCACTTTATTGCAAATGACGCTAATTGGATTTTTTCCAGAAGACTCTTTTAACACATGAAGGGTAGAGGATCCAACATGCAGAGGAATGTAGTAAGCATATATGATGCTCGCATGGGAGCATATTGCTGCAAGCTCCACATATATATTCACAGTCGAACATGGATTAGACAGTGAAGATTGGACAAAGGGAGATCACTACAGTCTAACCATATAATCACCAGTCCATTCCACTGTCAAATGCTTTAACAATGGATGCTCACTACACTACCTAGGGAACACAGTACATTTTTTAAAAAGATGCTTCATCTTAAGGAAGAAATACAATTTGAGGAACTAACAAGAAATCCCGCAAACAGAAACAATGTCCAAAACTTCATTCAACCACAGCAGAGTTTCCATAATCACATGGCTCCTTTATCATTTTCTCAAGAAACTGAACATTCAAAACTTCAGATAAGCAGGAGCGATGAAAATGGAATTAGATAAATTGGACAAAATAAGAAAGGGGGGTGGGGGGGGGGTAAGGAGAGAGAGAGATGGCTTCTTTTTCATTTTCTCAAGGAATTACTAAACACATGCACAATATAGAGAGAGAGAGGTGGGGGGGGGGGAGCATCTGAGCCAAAACCAGGGCTCAAGTAGTATTGTCTATATTGCATAGTGTCAAACTCTCTGAGAAATTTATTCCATTAGCCCAAGAACATGGAAAACTTGGATGAAGATTGGTAATTCTATGTGTATTACCAAAATGCTATCAAGACCATACTATCACTCAAAATTATAAGTTGTAGACGTAATATCTAACCTTCAACCATTGTTTCGGACTCGAAGACGTTAGAGGGTGGCTTCAACTGAATGAAGTCATTCATTACAGCCTCAACCTGTTCAAGAATGGAAACCACCAAAAGAAGACCATTAGTACAAAAGTAACTTGCACTTAAATAATTATGCTTGCAAGTAATACATCAACAAGACACAAAATAAAAGTGCAGATATACATGAAAGAATAACAGAGTCATCAATAGAAACATTTAAAAGACAAATGAAGTTTGAGGATTGCCGTGCATTTTAACAGCATATAACACATGAAAGTATCTCGCAAACAACTTTACAATTAAAGTAGCCCAGTTTTTTTTTAACAAAAAGTTCAAACTATTTCAACAATGGTAAACCCAAAGAAACTTATGCAAGGAACAGCAAACCTTAGCTACTGATTGCCCAAAGCTAACCTGCCCAAAGCTAACAGAGTCATCAATAGAAACATTTAAAAGACAAATGAAGTTTGAGGATTGCCGTGCATTTTAACAGCATATAACACATGAAAGTATCTCGCAAACAACTTTACAATTAAAGTAGCCCAGTTTTTTTTTAACAAAAAGTTCAAACTATTTCAACAATGGTAAACCCAAAGAAACTTATGCAAGGAACAGCAAACCTTAGCTACTGATTGCCCAAAGCTAACCTGCACAAAGAAAAAATAATGGGGTGTCAAAGGCAGATGGCGGATAACAATAGTCAAATTGAAATAAGGAAAGAAAGCAGAACATCACAAGTAGATAATCTAAGGTACAACGTAAATTGTTTCTCAAAGAACACGAAATTTGCATTGGAGTTTACCAGGAAGGGGAAAGGTAACATACTATGCAAAATGTTCTCGAAGGAGCTATTGTTGTTTTATAAATGGTACCTGAAATATTGAAATTTTGATTCAGAAGGCATCTACTACATTACAGATTACAACATAGAACCCCCCCTCATTCTTTACAAGTTAAATGGAAAAGATACTACCACTTTTGAATTTTACTACCTCTGAATGTTTCAATCTAAAGGAGAGCACCATAAATTGAATGATCTATGAAGGAAACTAGCCAGAGAAGCGGAATTAATTGAAATTCTAGCTAAATTGGCATGAACAATTCCACCACTTGGAACAGAATAGTAAAGCAGCCACTTTTCAACAAAGCCACATTAGCCCGGATTGCTCTTCACTGGCGAGCAATCAAGAAAGTAGTATGGAAAATATGCCAGCAGAGTTAACTAACAAGCATTTTCACATAACAGTTCAAGTAAAAATCAGATACTCCAAATGGATCATTTACTCAAAAATTACTAGAAAACAAAAAAGGAAATTTCAAATAAAGAAATATTCTACAAAAGAGTAAATTTCAAATAATGAAATATTTTAAAACAAGAGTGAACAAAATAAAAAACATAAACAAAAGCATCTTAATACATAAAAATTCATATGGTCAAATTCAAATATCATCCTCAAGTCATTGATTTGGAAAAACACAAATGACACAATCTGGAAAATCTATGAAGCACTATAGCCAATATAGGAGGGATTCAACAAATAAGCATCAGATAGCAGCCAATACGAATAGTAGCATACACAAAAAACAGCTTTGGTATAAATTTTACCACAAAGGAAACCCAAGCCTAACTCACTGAGTGAAAAAGACAACAATTAGTAAGTATAAAACCGCAGTCATCTAATGAAAATACCAGTTACAGTGAGATTCATAAGGTGGTCTATGGTAATGGTAAATGAGATTCATTGAGAAAGTCTAAAATTTATATTCCTCTGATATTTACCATATTCTTTCCAAGTCCCTCTCCAAATTGCGGAATTTCTAAGCTTGATATATACGTGGTTATAATTTGAACTTGATTGTAACATAAAATAAGTGTGCAGTAATATAAATGAGCAAAAAGTATGAAAAACATATTAGAACTACTCTTATAATCAAATAATGCGTCAGAAAAATGATGACCATAAAACAACACAGTAGGTTTTTGTCTAAAGAATACGATATGGCCTTCATTGAATTGTAGATTGAATATGGATTAATTGTAGATTGAATATGGATTAATTGTATGGTTCACCAGAATAAATGACAATAATTAGTGTATGTTTTGAATAATATACAGGACGAGAATTAGCATACCTTTCAAATCTAAAAGCATTTCAGGTTTCCCAGAAGGAGAATTTGAAATTAATATTCGCCCAACAGCACCAACATCTCCACTCATATCTAGAGCTTCACCTTCACACTCAATGAGTGCCTGCCATAGTATAAGAATTTTCTTGTAAGAACAAGTTACGCAATCGACACATGCGTGCACACACAGAGGAAAGGATCAGAAGTAGAACATAAGTGCAATATAAAGCTAGAATGACATGATTGAACAAATCATTAATAAATACAATCTAAATCAACAACCAAAAACACGTACTTACAAAATTATGATATAGAAAACCAAATCCATGCATGAGTTAAGATGCTTAACTGACGATAAAAGCGATGAATTTTATTCCATGTTTAGATATAATTGTGCAATGGAGTAGCATGTATTTAAAGGTATTTATTGAAAAAGAAATTTCAACAATGACATATACCACAAAAAGTTAGTTACCAATTGTCACCTACAGTTGACATATAGACATTTACAGCACAGGTTAAATGGAAAACGAACAAAGGAGAAGCTAGATTACATTCCTTGAAGTGACAAAAGCATACATTAACCTGCAATTGCATATAAGAACAATAGGCTACCTTCGACCGCTGGATTTTTTCAGGGAAAACCAGAGGCAATCTTGAGGAGACCTGAAAGTGACAAGCAGATATAAGCCAGTGAACAATTTGCTTGAAATCTCCACATAGTAAAAGCATTACTGCAAGCACTGAGAATTAAAAATAACATAAATAAGGCTAAGTAGCACCAATTGAGCACATAATATTTAACCAAACTTGTCCTTTACCAACTAACTGGGATGAATCAGTAACCTTAATATATCAGAATGCATTATCAGGTCAAGAGATACCCAACCAGTAAGATCTCTTACACGATGTTCGTTTTGTTTCTCAGGAATATCTTCATCGGCATTGTTGAGACCACCTTCCCCTTCATCCTCTGAGATAAATGCATAGGTAATCAGGGTGAAGTCAAGACATGTAACACCAGCAGTGATGTGCAAAGGGGAAAAAAGGACCAAAAAAATAAAAGAAAAAGACCCCAAGCGTGGTGCCTGTCATTTTATGTATTCCATTGGAATATAGTGAACTTCCTCTTTAAGAAGTATTTCTCCTCCTGCCACTTCGTGGTCCACAACAGGGGTTAAAAACTTCTCAAGTCATTTTCCTTTACAACTAACACTATTTGAAGCAACCCGTTCCCCCATATAGACATACCTTCCTGGATTTTATGATTATTTGTGCGCTTTTTGCTTTTTAAACCTTTCGACACTGGAACCTTGGTCTCTGGAGCCTCTTCTTCACTATCAACAGAGATTGCATCCTGATCTCTCTCATGAGCTTCAGGCCTGGAAAGCTCGACCTCTTCTTCAAGACAAGGAACTGAACGCCGTATTGGGCTATCCTCTGCAGACTCTGAGGGAGATGACAATGTGATAAATGTTGGTGCCTACATAGACATAACATTCACAATGAACATGTATGCATATATGGACGTATGCATGTATAGATGGATGGATGGATGGATGTATGCGTGTATGCACATAGATACAATTTCTGTAAGCATGTGTTGATTCATGCTTGGAAGAGCAAACCATGTTTATTTGTTTCGCCCATTGCCACAAACTGGGAAACCCACACCTTACATACTGTATGTCACTCGCCTGTATGTCACTCGCCAGTCACATATAGTTCGCATTCATGCATGACCCAAGCCAACTAGGTAGAGGCATGGGGGCCAATCAGATGGTGTTAGAAACATGGTCATTCACGAACATGTGGACCGCTGAAAGTACAATAAAAATCAGTCACTGAATTAGACTCTTTGCAGCTTGCAAACCAATTTTGAAAAATTTCCTAGGTGTGTAGGCCACAGTGTTCCATAACGGATCAATGTAGATTGAGGACACATTAATCCTCCTCACTTAATGAGGGTTAATTTGGAAGCAGATCCCATATTAGTTTGGGAGCCTATGAGGTGAGAACTGAAAAGAGGAAATGTCCTTGATTGGGCAGCTGCAATGAATCAAATCAATTCATAATGGTGTGGAGACTAATGTGGCATGAGGCCAAAGAAATTTCCGTGTTCACATGTATCCTTGTCATGACCACAGAAAAGTGTAAAGGAAGTAGTAAACAAAGCATTTTATCAAAAAAAAGAAAGTAAACAAAGTCATATCTTGAGCAGTGAAAAACATTTTTTAACTTCATCAAAAAAGAAAGCATTTTAACAGTTGTCCGTTTTACTTAGCATGCTTAACTAATGGCACCAACAATAAGAACATTGAAATGGGAAATTCAAGTAAGGAGATAAAGAAGATCACATTGTATAGTTATGGAAGCACTGGCTAGTTTTCAAAATGAACAGTGTGGTTAATGATCTATAATTCATTTTAGTAATCAGCTGAAATGTACCAAACAAAATAGCTGATGCCAATCAATAACTTAAAAATGGTTCTCGAGATAGTTCCTTGTGCTTTAACATTATAAATTGGAAGTTACAAAGATACTTCCCATAATGATCAATAGGAGAATTGATAAAAGATTGGAATTCACCTAGAATAGGATGCAATTCAAATCCACGTACATTCTCACATTGGATTAATTCAAATTCCCCGATGAACTGACTGAAATTTTGACTCTTTTGGCATAATCATCGTATCAGAAATTACAACTCTCTCACTTCAAGAATAAAAATTACATTACTAAATAGTAGATCAAGTAAAACTGCCACTTTATTACATCAAGAACAAGAATCAGCTCACCAAATAACAGATCAATTAATATTTTATTTACAGAAGAAACCTCAGTAAATGATAACCCATAACTATATCATCATCAACATCATCATCATCCAAGCCTTATCCCAATGATCTAGGGCCGGCTACATGAATCATGTTCTTTCATTCATAGGTTCAAGATTCATGATAAGATATGGCAAAATTTTATGCTGGCTGCCTACCTAACTAACTCAGCCCACCAGACCTAAGGAGGGTTAAGGGAAAATTTAAGGTCCTCGTCCTTATTAGCCCAACCCATCCAATTGATTATAAGTGGAGATGACCAAAATAGAAATAAAAAACTGTAGAACATCACGGCATGCCATTTGATATGAATATCAGATTTCAAAAATAAACTGGGTTAACAAATATTTAACAACAAAAAGGACAAAGTTAATACAGGAAACAGCTGAAATGGCTTTCTGAGTTCTCTAAAGAGATAAGTTCAATTTAGAGAAGTTATTCAAATAAACAAATTCAATGAATAAACGGAACACAGCAGATAGATGAATATTAAGGAAACCAAAAATGAAAAACAAATTGGGTTTACTTAGCAAATAAAAAATGAAGTGGTTTTCTCTAAAGATAGAGAGGTAGCAGTCAAAAAGCACAAGGTAGCAGTCAAAAAGCACAGAAATCAAAAAATAAGAATGAGGTGTTGTTAGAGAGAGAAACAAAGGGCAACACACGAAAACAGCAATCAAATGGATAAATTAACATGCAGAATACCAAAAAATGGGGTCAACGAATGCATAAGCATAGAGATCAAAAAGTGAAAAAATGAACAAGGATTGATATATATAGAGAGAGATCGAGATAAGAGAGAACAGCGACAATGCACAACTAGGGAGAAATAAATGGTGATAAAGGATGTAAGTATCAAATAGAGAAACTGAAGTATTGATTATAAAAATTGAAGTGGGTTTTGCAAGAGCCAGGAGAGACAGAGAGAGAGGTGAAATAATGCATAAGTGGAGAGATTAAAAGTGTAGCAGTGAGGAAAACACAGGCAGAGATATATCCATAGTGAAAATACGATAGAGGTCTTTCTAGAGACACAATAGATGTTGTGTTCACGAGTAGCGAGAGAGATGAACAGAAAAAAATGAAGCAGGTATTCCTAGAGAAAGAGAAGTGAAATAATGAAAATCTGCTTCTAGGGATAGAGCAAACACATAGAAATATCCACGTAAAAAATTGAAGTAAGCATTTCTAGAGAGAGAAAGCTAGGGATAGAGCAAACACATAGAAATATCCATGTAAAAAATTGAAGTAAGCATTTCTAGAGAGAGAAAGGAAGAGATCGAGATACGATGTATGCACAAATATAGAAAAATCAGCAGTATAAATAAAAGATGAAGTAGGCATTTCTCTAGAGAGAAACCTGGAAATTGTGGATCCAGTCTGGTGACGGCTCTCGAGAAGAAGCCATTAGAGGACTCAGACCCACAACAGTGAGGAAGAGAAGACCGCCAAACCAAAAAGAGGTTTTGTTGGAGGGAGAACAATACAATACCTGAATGTGTCCCAATCCCTTCAACCTATCTCAAATAAATCCTCTTCCTTTTCTACACTATCCAAGACGTCTTTATTTTTTTACCTTGCAATAACAATTGGGATTAGGATGTTAGCTTGTGCGCTATTAAGTTCAATAAATGTTTTTTGAACTATAACTCTACTCAAACAGACTCTTATAATTACTCGATTTGAAACTTGATCTCTTTATATATTAATTATTTAAAATATCAATTATTTTAAATTATTTGAAATATTAAGTCTTATTATGTATTAATTAATACAAATATGACTTCTAATTATTTTTTAGCAATTTATTTCGAATAAAATAACATTATCATTTCAAAAATATTATCGGTAAGAATTCTTATGATTTTATCTCCTGTAATTTTAGGATGGACATTGAAAACTTACATGAATTTATTGTCAAGATCGGTTTTATTAAAAGGTAAAATTATCACAGATAATAAGTACATCTGTGTCTAAAAAAGTTGTGGATCTTAAAATTTCCTTAACTTGTTCCAAGCCAAGGTAAAAGAGGTAAGCTTTGTTAGTTAGGCAGCTGCCAAAAACTTCTCATTAATCCACAATATTAGCGGACCGGGATTTATGTAGCCGAACCCAATTAGTTGAAAAAAAGATTTGATAGCGATGAAGAACAAATACATCCAAACAAGTCCTAAAAGTCAATTAAAAAATAGTCATCACAGCATTATGTTTTAAAGTCCATATAGAGTTTGTAAATCAAAAAACATTTTGGAAATAAAAATGGAGGAAAAATAGTAAAAAAAAAACATATTTTATAATTCGTTTTCAAAATTTTATTCAGTATATCAATTTAGAAATGTTTTGGCACAAGTTTGAATAAAATTGGTGAAACATTGAGGGAGGAATAAAAGATTTTCGATTTTAAGCTAGAAAAGGTCCTCATTTTTCAACTCAATCTCCTCATACAAGGGCATCGATCCAACAAATTATGATATGGATCTTTTAGATGGGTCTAATGACAATATTTTTTGAAATCAAATTTAAGATAATTTAGTTGATAAATGAGGGAATTGGGCGAATTTGACGTATACTTCAAAATGGTGAGATTTTTTCGAAAAATTGCTCAAATGCAATTTTTTAGCAAAATAATTGTTGTATGTGGCAAAATGGTGAGAATTTTTTGAAAAAAATGTTCAAATGCAATTTTTTAGCAAAATAATTATTGTTTGGGGCTAAGATTGTGTCCAAATAAATCAAATTAGGCCCTAGATGCGGATTATAGGTTGAAAAATTTTAAATAATAATGATGATTACAATTAAAAAATAAAGGTATCTAGGGCAACTCAATAAGTCTAAGCAAGACCCGAGTGGGCCAACCTCCGAATCCTAGTCAACTAGGCAAGGCCCAAGTCACACAGCTTCTTCTTTTTTTTTCTTTTTTTTTTCTTTTTTTATATATATTTTTTTAATTCACACAGCTCAAAGCTTAATACAATGTGGTTAACTTGCGACTATATATATATGGAAAGTATAAAATATTTTTTTGGAGTGTTGCCTTTTCATTAAAAAGAGTCTTAAATGCTCGTATAGCACAAATTAGGGATAAATTTAAGAATGGGTGCGGTTTCTATAAGGTTACAACCTTAAACAATCTAGTTAAGGTGCACCTCCAAATTTTATCATAACATGTAATTTTGGTGTTAAAAAAATCTTAAGATTATCTGAAAATCTATTTTTATATCTAATTATAAAATTTTAAACTTCAAAAATTGTTCAAATCAAGTAGATCTATAAGCATATGAAAATCTTGCAAATTGACGGTCTAGATAATATGTTTTATTTTTTAGACTCAAAATCTTTTTTTTTTCATATTCATACATCTCGATGTCGAGATGATCAATTAGAGAGTTTTTAACATGAAAACAACTTTCCCGATAGATTTTTGAGGTACATCTATAATTCTACAGTTAGGGTTGCAACCTTATATAACTTTTTTTCCTTTAAGTATTGGTCGACATAAATAGGAAAAAATAAAGTATTATAGTATTAAGAGATTATATATATGAAAAAATAATTCATTACAAGGAGATCACAATAACATTTGAAATCCGTCCACTTGTATTACAAAGTTCGAAAAAAAATTAAACTGTTAGCTGAGAAACTTTTGAACTTTAAACCCGATCAATAGAACACTCTCAATTATTTGATTTGACGAATGCGAAGTCTGCAATACAAAAAGATGCCTCTTGTAGATTGGTTTTTCTTATATTTATGCTTACCAAGAGTACTCAAAGATCAGAGAGGACGTTAAACCACCTGAAATTCCCCATTCCCTTGGATGATTGGGGTCCGATGGCTTGTAAATTGTGGTGTAAACCTTGTTTTAGTAAATCTTCACTTCATAACTCATCGAACATTGCAAGTCAAGTATTGGAAGAAACCTTTACATCGATCATTTTGACTTGAATATTATGGTTGTGAAAAAAATTATGATTTCAAGATATAAAAGTAATGTATATTTGTAACAATTTATCTAAACTGTACATTTTGCTTTAAAAATAAGTGTTCATAAATCCACAAGATTTGTCCCATTTTTTTAGTTTCAATATTTATGATCGGTATTGAAATTGATTTTAGAGCCATCATAGAGATTTTTGTTACCGAAAGTACTTTTTCAGGTGAAGATTTAAGGTGAAGCTTTATTTTGTTTTCCTAACTCCCATGCCTTGTATAAAAAATTCATATATGGGAAGTGTTTAGAAACTTAAACACCCCCATCCTTTTTAAGAAAATTACTCTTCTCATTAGGCTAAAGTGAATCTTAAATATCCATAAAAGTACCACTAAATGGATCTTTTATTCAAGGGAGTAAGTGAGCAGCGTGATTCCATAAGATCATGCTATATTGTTCTTATAAGAGCTCTATTTCATTTAGTCATTTTTTTGGGTTTATCCTGTAACTTTGATTTTAAGAGTTTGTTTGAATGTCATCGTTGTCATTGATTATTCACTATTTCAATAAATCTTAATTATAAACTATTTCTTGTTTGGCAATGCCCATGATAAAGTTAAGGGAAAGCTTTCTATGTTCCCCCTACAACATAGAAGTTCTATGTTCCCCCTATTCAACCGTCCATTTTTTAATAGAGGGCTAAGATTGCCCCAATCACAATGTCATGTCTCTACACTGTTTTCTTTTTTTTTTCTATAAACTGTTTTGACACCAAACTTTGGACGTCCATTCCTATATTAAACTCGCACTAACAAAAAAATATAAAATAATATTTTCAATAAAATAAAATGACCAAAATACCTCTGAAAGTTTCAAGGGGTATTTTGGTCATTATTTTTTATCCAATAATTATTATTAATATTTTTTACAAGTGCGCCCCAATAAGAAGATGGCACATACCAATTTTTATATCCAAAATAATTGTATTAAAAAAACTAAAAATAAAATACATTGAGACATCGGATCTAAGATTAAACAGTGAATGGCTCTCTTGATAAAAAATGGACGGCTGGATGGTAAAGAGAACATAGAACTTCTATGTTGTAGGGGAAACATAGAAAGCTTTCCCTAAAGTTAATTGAGATAAACTTACAAGTATGTCTTATTGAAAAGTTGCTTTTACTTTATTCAAAGTAATTTGCTAAATTACATATTTCTATCCAAAAAGCTAAAAACAGATGAAAATCACCTAAAAATTTAAATAATTAAATAATATTATATACAGTAAGATATATACCAAATAACTAACAAAATAGTATTTTTTGAAATATATTAATTTCAATAAAATAATATATTCTAGATAAAAATAATTGCCATCCAAACATGCCCTAATTATGAGTCTATTCTATATGCATTAGATTACATTCAAAGGAAGGACTCACACGCCTTCATTAACATATGACTTTGAAATAACATTCTTACAGTCACATGCTTTTAACATGGTACTTTTAGTATAATATCCTTCATGTTTCTTTTTTATTTTTCTTTATATTGGTTATCACAAATATTCAAGTATATTTCTATATTTTATTTATAATGTAGATAACTAGGGACTAACATGCTTTCTATATTTGGCTTTTAAAAGTAGATTTTCCAAATATTTAGTGAAATTTGTGTGAAGTATTTTGATTTAATTTATATTTTTATTTTAATTATTGGGATCTATCTAAGAATCACCATATGACTATTTTCATGGACTGATTTCCACACTGGAGGATCGGTTGGGTTGGTGATTATGGTCCAATTTTCTAGATGACCGATTCGCCTGACCAATCTAGGTTTTCGAAGAAAAAAAAAATTAACTTAGAAGTAGGGTGGGGAATAACCCGGACCTGACCCGGGTCCGGGTATGGGTTAAAGAATTTGACTCAAAGGGTTGGGTTTGGGTCCAAATATTGGACCCAAACTCTATTCATTTGGACCTGAACAGTATTCGGGTTTAGGTCTGGATCCAGGTCCGAGTCTATATGGATCCGACTCGAATAGTATTATTATATAAATATAATATTTAAAAATATATGTATATATTTAACATAACATTTAAATATATTTAAGCATATTTTTTATTTCTTTTTGGATCGGGTCCGGATCTGACAACTTCAGGTCCGGGAACTTAGAAGTTAGAACATTGTTGTTTTGCACGTTTCGAGTTTGTTCAAAACTCATTTTCTTTAATGTCGGTTTTATTTTAGAAAATGTTACATCCCAAAATTGGTCAAAGTCCAACAAATATTCTGTCATGTAAATGTACTATTTAAAAATACTCTTAGTGCATTCTTACAGGTTAGTTGGGTAGCCCACTAATATCATTTCCGGATAATGATCCTTGATTACTCTTAAAACCAAACGGCTAGAAACCACTCGTTCCTCCTATATAATCTAGCTACTTCAAACTGTCTTCTGTATATATCTCTCTCTCTCTTATCTTCTTTTATCAGCAGCATGATATGTGTTATACCTACATGTCTGTAGAGTTTTGAGTTCAGGTTTTTAACTCGTAGAAGCTTAAAAAAGGTAAGTTTTTAAAAATTT